GGGTGGCCCGGGCGGGGCCGTGGCCGGTAACGGCGCCCGGCCCCCGGGTTTCGGCAGGCAGCGGAGCCGCCTTCGCCGTGCAGAAGCTAGTGAACAAGAAGCTGCCGTATAGCCTGCAGTGGAGCCTGCTGCTGGCCGGGGGTGAGCGTCCTGCCCGGCCCTGCCCGCGCCCAGGCAAGGCGGCGGGACCCCGCTCTGAGCGGGGCCGTGCCGCGGGCAGAAGGGCTGTTCGTCCTCGGCCTGGGGGATTTTCTCCCCTGGCTCCTGTCACGGCCCTACACCTCACGGCCCTGGGGGGGGTTGGGGACGGCTCGAAGGCAGCTGCAGCAGCTCATACGCTGGCAGGTGCTTTGCCCACCGGTGCCCTTAGCAAATGCCTTTGCTGCTGGCGCTGTCGGGAGCATCTTGGTCTCTTCAGCTGCAGGGTCCCTCACCAGCTACGTGGTAACCCGAGCCGAGACGCGGAAATGCGCCGACTTCTGGATTTACCTGGAGACAGGCAAGTCCCCACAGGAGCTTGCCGTGGCTGGTAGGGTGTCTCAGCCTGCAGGTATGTTCACATCTCTCCCTGCTGCTTTCCCTGGGCTTGTCATGCCTGTTTCTTCCCTGCTGCGACAATTTGCTGCTCCTGACTCATAATTAAGGTGGTGACTGTTTGTGTCATTGCCAAAATCCTCATAGAAGTCCTACAGTGGCACCCCGCAGCCGAGGGATAGGAGCAGGCACCTGGGGTGGCAGCAGTGCTAGGGTGGCTGGAGCACCCTGCCTGGTCTCATGGCTCCCATGTCCCTCGTGCCCCAGCCCCATCACCTGCACTGCAGGTACCTGAGCAGGGCTGGCAGTGTGGGGTGGGAGCACTTGCTTCTGCCTGCTGCCCTGCCTGCTTTTGTGGATTCACAAGAGCCTGCGTGAAGGGCTTGCTTGCTGGAAGAAGAAGAAGAGGGTAGGGGATGGAGGGAGGCAGTAAACCACTCCACACCCCAGTTGCTCCATGCAGTGGGCAGAGCTGGAGTGGACGATTCCCGCAGCTGCTAGCTGCTTTCTCCCACTGGTACACTGAGCTCCCAAAGCTGGGACTAGCTGAAGGGGGTTTAAACGCTTCACCAGGGCTCTGTGGTTCTCTGCCTGCCCCTGGCAAACACTCAGGGATAGTCAGGGATCCAGGGAGCTTGTTCTTTCTGTTGCAGAAAATCTGCCCAGTCCAGAGGACAGAGAGAGCATGGCACCACTGGTGAGAAGGAACAAGTACGGGGACGTTGTGGAGTAGCTAGGAGAGCACAGCACGCCATGCACGTGTGCTGCTTCACCCCTTCCTGCCTGCCAAGCCTGCCTGCACCTGTGCTGCCTGAGAGACTGGTGGGCTCTGTGGCACTGCCCAGGAATTCAGATGAGTCGATCCAGTGAGAGTGTGGTGCAGGCACCATAGGGATTGCTGCCTCCCAGGTGACCTCTGAACATCGCACATGGGGGTACAATAAAAGTCAAGAGCTTAAAGTGCACATTGTGGATGAAGCAGAGGCTGGCGGTGGGACAGGAAGAGCTGGGGTGCAGGTGATAAATGTCACCCTGAGGCAGCCCCTGCAGTAAACATTGGAGCAGAGAGCGCTGGTCCCTCTGAGGCCATAGCGCTTGCAATCCAACAGCACAGGGCTGTGAAATGATGACAGGCACGGATGGGTCTGGCCTAAGCAGTGAGAGGGCAGAGCTGTTGCCGTGTGCTCTCTGTTTCTTGAGCCTAGCTGGTCACAACATCCCCGCCCCTGTAGGAGCAAAGCTTTTCTCTCCTGCCTGAATGGAGCTGAGCTGAGCCCTGCAGCTGCATGGCCTCTGGGGGTGTTCTTTCTGCCCCCACAAAGGGGGTGCACATGTGCCTAGAGCCCCTCTGTGTGGTGCCTGCCTTGCTCTCGGGGCAGTCACCTGGCCCGTCCCAGACTTTCCATCCAGATCCATAAACAACTGGCAAGGGAGTGGTACTGTCTCAAATTCTGTGCACCCAGAGGTGCATGTGGGAAGATTAAGAAGCCTCTTTTACTTCCTTTTTTCCTAGCAGCAAATTCCAAGTCATGACTAGGGCAAACTGGCTGCTCTTGGTGGATGTCCAGCTCTGATTCAGCTGCAGCTGAATTTCTTAGAAGGGGAATCCCAGCCTGGGATCTGGAAGCTAGCTGGTTTCTTAGAGCAGAGCAGCAGCATTTCAGCTTCAGAGATCAAAAGTGCCTCCTTCCCTGGGAGAGCTGGAGACAGTCCCTCAGCCTTGGCACAGGAGGGAGTCCCAGTGCTGGGGACATGAAGGGCCTGGGGAGGAAACTGGGTTTGGGGGCTCAGAGCATCATCTGAACTGGAATCACATTTGCCCTGGGCAGAGAGTAAAAGCAAAGTGGCTGTGGGGAACAGGGGGGTTAAGCCAAGCACAGTGTACTGGGAACTCAGCTGGAGCAGGGAAGGGTGTTACTAAGTGAGCAAACCCATGAAGCTCGTGCTGCCTGCGAGAGCAAGGAGGGCAGTGAGAAACTGCAACTCTTACTAAAGCTGCTCCTCTCCTGGGGCATGCAGAGGAACGTGGTGGGGTGGGAGGCTCCTTCCAGATGGGCTTGATGAGTTGCAACTGGCCCCGCACAGCTGTCCAGCGGCCGGATGCATGCCATGGTTGCTCTGAGCTGCCAGTGACTGCATGAACAAATTGCCAACCCTGCAGGCTGCTCTCCTGCCCTGCTTGGGTACCAGACCCGGTTCCCTGGGAGCCGAGGCTCCCTACATGTTTTCCTTGTGTGGAGGCTGCGGTCATGAGTGCAGCCGTGAATGCACAGGACAGAGTTAGCTTGAGCCTTTGGGGTGACTGGACCTTGGGAAACCTGGACTTTGCCACCATAGCTGCTTGAAACTCTTCCACTTCCAGGTGGGTCTGAGTCTGGAGTGAGGCTTCAAGCCTGTCTTGGTCCATCTTGGGGGATTCTCCAGGCTGGTAGAGCATACAAAGCCGTGATGGTGTCTCAGCACTGGGCAGGCTGCAAGGGATTGAGACCTTCAGGCAGAGCCTGACCTGTGGCTTCGTATGAGTAGACCCCGTAAGTGGCTCTACCCCTGCAGGACAGCCAGGCTTGATCAGCCTGTCGCTGATCAAGAGCCACAGAGCCGTAAGAGTGGTTACAAAGATTTATTTCTGATTATAAAAAAAACAACCCAAAACAAACAAAATCAAACCTTCTGCATGTTCGCATGTCCCTGTTTTTACTCATTTGGAAATGGAGGCGCATCCTCCCAGCTGCCTGGTGTGGGGTGATGCAGGGCTCAAATCCTAAGGCAGTGCAAAGCCCCACTCCTGCAGTGAGCCCATCACCTCTGTGATGGCACAGCCACGCACCAGGGAGCCACAGGGGCTTTTTGTGCTATTGCTGTGGGGACAGAGGAGGCTCTGGCTGTGGCAAAGGCAAGACTGGCTTAGGAACTGCAGGAATGGGGAAAGCACCCCATCTGGTTGCTGAAGGGGGACATGCTGCCTACAGCCCACTTCTGGTTGTTGCTAAGCCCCTACCCAAAGCCCCCTGTGCTGAGGCTGGTGGAAGTCCAGGCCAAGATCTGGCCCTCAGGAAGGTCAGTGGGGTTTGTGCATTGGCCAGAAAGACAGCATGGGCTCTGGGTGATGCCCAGAGCTCCCTGGGAGGCTGATGCTCCAGGGACAGGCTAGCAAGCTCAGCTATAAGGACTAGCATAAGTAATACTTCCCACCCACCCCATGCACGTGAGAATAAATCCTGCTGTTGGCTGGACTCGCTGGTCCAGTCCAGCCCAGGTCTGGCAGCAGAAAGATGCCCCAGGTCTGGACATCCAAATCCTGAGCCTGCTCTGGGGTCCGTCCCCAAGTAGCACTGGGAAACCCTTAAGCTATTCTTCTACAGGGCCAGTGGTCCTCTTCTGTCCCCCCTTTCTGCAGCTTGAAAGCAAGGGGAGGGCAAAAAGGCACAGCTTTCCTTCTGGGACAGACAGCGTTGGGTATCATAGGTGGACATCTCTGAGCACTTGCCGCATCCCACGTGTTCAGGCCATGGAGACTCCAGCAGGAAGGATGGTGCTGGTTCCTGCAGACAAGGCCCACCCTGTCCCTGCTGTTAGATTGTGAGGGACTTGCTGTGCCGGAGCAGGCAGATGGCAGTCACCAGAGACGTCAGGGTGGTGACCACAAAGAGCAAGATGAGGATGACCCAGTAGTTGTACAGCATGCTTTTATGGGAAGAGGGCTTCTCTGCTGGGATCATGTTGGTGAGGTTCAGCATGTAGCCCAAGGCCCAGCCAATGGAGGTTTCTCCTGCCTGTGGAAACATCATGGCATTGTCACCACCCTAGTCAACCCAGCTCCATGGCCCTCAAAAGACCTTCCAAGGACTACCTCACTGTCAGCCCAATGGAGGAGAGGGGTTTGGGGCAGTCCACAGCACCCTGAGCCCTCGCTTGCCTGCTGGTCCAGCCAGCCCTGGGACAAAGCAGTGACTGTCCCATGCTGAGCTGGGCTCATTTGATGGGAGCAGGATCTCATCCGCTCAGGCCAGTCCTGATCTTGCTGCCTATCCCATGGCTCGTGCAGGTGAGGGGACTTGGCAAAGGTGGGATCCTGCCCCGAGATAACTTCCCAACAAATTAGATCAAAGAGTTTTTTGAGATGGATGGTGTCTTGAGGGCCAAGGAAGGACTGGAGGACCTTGCAATTCATGACTCCATGACCACCTTACAGTCAGCTCAGCTCATTTTTTTTCCATCTCCCAGAAGATCCACCCAAAACCTGGCAGTCCCAGCCTGCCCCTGTTCCCTGAGATCTTCCCTCACATTGCTTGGCTCTTTCTTGTTGTGGGATCATCTCTCCTGCAGGGCTTTTTGGCCTAACTCCAAACAGATACCATGGGATGTGTATGTGCTCTGCTGTTACCCACCTTCTTCTGGAAGGCAATGTTGGGGAAGGAATGGTTGTTGAAGTTATAGCCTTTGGTGGTGAGCAAATAAACAAACGTGCTGACAGCACAGTAATCCGGCAGCCTCTTCTCCAGCTTGGGGGCTTTCTGGAGCAGCTGTATGGGATGCATGGAGGGAGAGAGAAAAGGGGTCAAGGCAGCAGGATCCAGGCTTTCTTTCTGTTGCCTGAAGCTCTGGGTGGTTGCATCTGGCTGGCTAAGGCAATGCCCATACCCACCTGAGCCTCTCCTGGTCCCATATGGGAGTCATCACCCACCCTCCCCCTACTCTCTGGGTGCCAGGACACCCAGCCCCCTCCAAGGGCTGCTCTCAGAGCCCAGGTGATGCCCCACATGAAGCAGCCCTCTCCTCCCCGCCATGCCTGAGGAGCCCACCTCGCTCCAGCTGGTGGCACATACGGTCTCAGCAGCATCCTTCAGGTCGCTGGGCAAGTGCACGGGTGTCCCCATCACTGCCTGGATGAAGTCTACCGTGTAGAAGAAGGCAGAGAAGGCCTGATGGAGGAAAGGAGACAGCTGTGGGACAGGCTGGGAGCAAACCCTCTTGCCATGAACAGCTGCTCTGACCAGTGTGGTGGGCACAAGTGACTGCCCTTCCAGAGCTGGGGGGGCTGGCTTTGCTGCCATGTGATGCTGGGGACACCTGCCCACCCTGCAACCGGGCCACCACCCCACTCCATGCCAGGACTTACGATGAAGTTTCCTGAAACCTCTGGCTGGAAAATGCCATCAAAGGAGCAGCGGGAAAAGGAGCAGGTGGTGAAGTCGAAGAGCTTGCTGACATGCAGAGCGCAGAGGCTCCCATTCCCGGTGCCAACCACGGTGACAGTGGTGTTGAGGGCAAGGCTTGGCCTCTCCTTCTCTGTGCAGGGGCTGTCGTAGACACTGCTCAGTGACAGGCTCTTGTGGTAGCCTGTGGGCCAGCAGGGATGGGTGATGGTTGCTTGGTAGCTCGCAGCCTGCCGAAGAAGCAACGCATGGGATATGTGAGCCGTGCTGTAGCCCCAGCTTCCTGGTGCTGTGCGGCAGCCCCAGCACCGCTGCCTGCCTGCCTATGTTTCCCTGCTGGGGAGATGCAGAGGAGCGTGGGCAGCGGTACACAGAGCTGGCAGTTGCCACAAGCATCTTAAGATGACTTGGGACATCTTGGCTCTGGCTGAGGAGTACAACACCTTATGGAGAAGGTGGGAGGAAGCCCTGCAACCGCAGGAGTGGGTTTGGGGCAAAACCCAAGAGTTGGCTGGGAAAGGTGTGCAGCTGGCCCTGCGGGGCTGCCCTAGAGCCAGGGCTGGTACCTGGAGGAGCCTTGAGAGCAGCCTCTTGAGGACCTGGTCCCTTCCATAGCAGAGGAAGCTGTGGGTGTACACTTTGTACACCTGGCCGTACAGCTTCAGCATCACCTCGTTTCTGGGGTCTTCAATGGTGTCCCTGGTTTCAAAGGTGATCTGTGTGGAAGCACCTCCGAAGTCCATGGCCCCCAGGGTCTTCTTCTGGGGCTGGATCCATTCCCCGAGCCACCCACGCTGAGCAAGGAAGACAAGAGCGGGGATGTGATGAGCTGCAGGACAGCCTGGCCACCACAGCCGTCCCCTCTGGGCACCATGATCCCCTGCCCACCTTGATGAAGTTCTCCAGGAGGTAGTTTGCAGTCACCCAGCCAAAGACCCCTTCCTCTTCCCCCGACAGGATCTTTGCCCCCCGGAAATCGAAGGGGTACGACTTCAGCATGGCTGCCACGGCGCTGAGGACGGCATCTGAAGCCTGCACATTTGTGATGCTGCGGGCCAGGCAAGAGGGCAGAGTGGCAGGGCTGCACTTGGGTGCCGCAAGCAGAACCCCACTGCCTGCACAGCCCTCAGGGCCCGGCCCGGCCACAGCACATTGGGCAGGCGGCAGGTGGGTCCTCGCCTGGGTACCTGTAGGGATGTCCCCAAAAAAGCCCAGCTAATTCCTCTTGTCTCTGCCAGAGAAGGAGGCAGGTGGCAGGGATGGAGGTGTGCTCCCTCCTTCTGAGCCATACCCTGTGGCTGGGGGAGGGGGGCACGACTCACTCCTCTGTGTTGTTTTCAGGGTGTAATTATTTTCACTGCGTCCCATCAGGCTGGCAATGGGTGCAGGGGGACTTTTGTCCTGGCTAGCCAAAAAGACTGGTTGGGTTATCCTGGTGCTGGCTCCACACCAGCCACTTTTCAGCCAGGGATGTGCTGGCTGTGCCCCGCAGAGCATCTCCTGCTCTGAAAGGCAGGAGCACCTCTGCAAGGGACGCAGAGCCAGGCAGCTGGGAGATTTAGGAGATTCACCTGGCAAGGGGGCAAGATCACAGCTGTCCTTCGCCATCTCCACCCCTGCCATGGGTGGCGAGACAGCAGGGTGGCATGGCAGGGCCCCCCCAGGCAGCCTTTGAGGCCAGGCAGCTGACATGGCCAGAACAAGCACTCACTTGAGCAGGCGCATGCCAGCTGTGGCACCCAGGTAGAGTGGGGTGCCTGCATGCTTCTCCTTGGGCACATCTCTCAGAGCCTGGTTCAGGCAGGGCACCAAGCTTGTCCCGGCAGCCGGAGGGTTGGAGCTGTAGCTGGATATGCCAGGACCTGTGGAGAGGAAACAGCATTGCTCCCTGCAGGTGGTGGGAAGATGCTTGGTGGGAAGATGCTTGGTGGGCAGCTTTGCCCTTCCCAGGCTGTTCAAAAGGCAGGTGCTGCAGGTTCCTGTGGGCATGGAGTCCTTCAGAATCCAGCCACATGTCCCTGCCCATGCCACATCCCCCACTGGCTGACAGCCTGGGAAAGGTCGCTTAAATGGGGAGTGGAAAACCATCCCTCACTCCTCACTGGGCTAGGCAGGGAGCTGAATTGTTTCCTGGTGGTTCAATGCATGCCAGGAAAAGATAAACCACAGGCATGCATGGCTGCAAACCTGGGGAGGGAGATGGGGAGGTTTTGGAAACAGAGCTGGACTCCTCATAACACCTCACTGCACTGCTGAATACGCAGGGAGGCAGCTGGGCACGGCAGGGGCATTCGCACCATCGCGGTGCCCTGCCCACAGGGGACATGAGAGACCCTTCCACCAGGCACTGGCCCCCGGGGACTGGGACAGTCCTTACCCTCCACATCGCACATGCTGTGCTCGCTGACCACCCCAGTGTCATTCTCCTTGTCTGCAGGCCACTTGTAGATGAACATGGCTGTGTGGGAGGACCCGGCGTCCAGCACGATGCCATACTGCAGGGGGGAGGCAGTGGGTCAGGCCCAGAGGCAGGGAGACCCCCAGCTGCCCCAGGCTATCCTGAAGGAAGGCACTGGGGCTCAACAACCCATGGTGGCTGGCCAGTCCTGCCCTGGCAGCGCCCTGCCCAGCAGCTTCAGGAGCATTGTCTGGCAGAGGCGAGCGCTGCTCAGCCCAGTATGGGCATGGCCTTGCCCACACCTGCCTGCATGGGACTGGGAGTGGGTGCTCTCCCCAGCCAGGGATACTGGCTACCCCAGGATGCTGCTTGGCACAGCACAGGGACTCTGGCCTTTTGGGCATGGGGACCCTCTTGAGCACAGACTGAGAGGCTCTTCCCCCACTGCTTGCTCCCATCTCCCCACAGCATTGCTCCTGGCCAGTGGGCATCCATGCTGAACTGTGCTGGCAGGTCCCTGGAGCCAGTGGTGGGGGGAACACCTGGGAGAAGCCCCTCTGGGATGCAGCTCGCCAAAGAAGGGCAGTCAGGCACCTCATCCCTCCTGCCCTTGTATGGCTTGGCCATTCTCTGGCTATAAATAACCCTGTTCCCTCCTGCCAAACAAGGTTACCCAGCTCCCAGGGAGGGGCCGCCCCATGCTGCCTTCAGCCTCCCCAGGCGGACCCCCTCTGCTTTACCCTCCCCACTGCCTGCAGGCTCGGGGCAGCCTGCATTGGCCCCCTCTGTGCCCCTGCCAGAGCTGCTTCACTGATGGAGAGGAGGCTGTGAGTCTTTGGGGAGGAAAACAAGGCAGTATCCAGTGCTGGCCCAGCTGAGCATCTCTGGGGTGAAACCACTTCAGGCTAAAACCTGGCTTGTACAAAGACTCTGTCTGCTACCTGCCCTGCCTGGGCCCGGGTGCAGCCCCCAGGCTGGGGCAGGCAGCTTCTCTCCCTGCCCAGCACCCAGCAGCCATCCCAGCCCTGCCTGGTGGGTGCCCCTGGTCCCATCCCTGTCCCTGGCAGCCCCTGCCAGCCACAGAGTGGGCTCCAGCCTGAGTGGCTGCACAGTTGGGTTTTGGCCAGCTCAGGCAGAAGAAATAAAGTGTCAGGGTGCAGGCAGGGACACCTGGGGTTCCTGCTTATAGGCAACCCCCATTCCCACGTGAACCCATGGCCCCACACCAGTGGTACCCCCTGCTCCCTCAGGGAACCATTTCCAATGGGTGACCCCCTGCCAGCCTCCCCTGGCTCCCATTAACTGCCAGTGGCTTGCCACATGGCCTGGGCCAAAAGCTGCCAGCCAGCGGAGAACACCCTTCTGCGGCCAGACTGGGGCTGGTGTGCCACGGCACTGGCGTGGGGGAGCAGATCCCGGCAGTGCTGAGGAGGGCGGGGCTCTGACAGCAACCCCGCCCAGCTGCTGCTCCAAAGCACAAAGCCGGGGAGCAAGACCCCCAGTTTGGGCCATTTCTGGGCTGGGTGCTGGGGTCAGCACCCCGGGCAGCCTCGGGGCAGGTCTCAGGCCCCTCCTCTGCCCAGCGTGTCATGGGCCATGCACCCCCTGGCACTAAGCGTCCCCCCCAGTTGCTCCTTGCCATAGCACCCACTGCCTTGCCTGCCCACCCTGGGGCTCCATGGGCACCCCCTGCACCTCCAGACAGGCAATCACCTGCCAGGCACAAGCAATAAATGATGCTGAGTCTGCCCCAGCAAAGCTGCCTGTCCCAGGGGATGCCTGCTGGCATGTCACCACTGGCTCCCAGCCCCACAGTCCCCTTGGCACATCCCCTTCACCGTCCCAGCACTCGCGAGCGGGTGCTGGCATCCCCATGAGGGGTCCCCAAGGAGGGTCCAACCCCAGCGGATCCCTCTGCCCACATGCCTTGTGGCCACCATGCAGATGTCCCTGGTGACCTCACAGGGCACCGTGCCACCCCAGATATCACCTGGAGTGACATTAGCATGGTGACAAGGTGACAACGCTGTCCTCAAAGGGAAAGCATCAACAGGTCACCCCCAAACCTGAGGCTGAGCATGGCTGGGACCCCGGGAGCAGTTTCCAGCCCCAGGATGACACAGGGTGGGCTGCAGCCTGTGGAGGGGGATGAGGCTGGAGGTGGAGATACCTGTGGGGTGGCAGGGGCTAAGAAATGCTGGAGCAGGAGGCACCAAGGATGACCCGCAGTGGTGGCAACACCTGGTGCCACACACCAGGAATGGGGACAGCCCAGAAGGAGCAGCACTGGGGATGCTAGATCGACCCCGTGGCAGGAACAGACATGGCCACACGAGCTTGGACACACAGCTGGATCCGGGATGGGCAGGGAAAGGCCCATGTGCCTGTGGCAGGGGGAAACCTGGTTCAGGGGATTGTGTCCTGCCTTCACCAGGGCTGGCTTGGCTGTGCCCTGCTTCCAGCCCCACAGAGAGCTGGCACACATGGTACACGTGGGGTTGCACATGTGGCAGGGGGGTTGCATGTGTGTGGAGGTGCACACATGTAGGTGCACATGTACATGGATGTGCATGCATCTATGTGTGCATGCCTGCAGCTGTGTATGTGGTGGGGGGTGCATGGACATATGCAGGTGTGTGCAAATTTAGGTGTGGGGGTGCATGCACGTGGGGGTGCATGCACATGGGTGTGCATGAGTAAGGTGTACATGCACATGTTTGTGTGCACGTCGGTGCATGTGTGTCTGTGAGTACATGCATTTAGGTGGGGGTGCATGTGTGGGTGTGCGTGGGCTTGCATGTGAGTGTGTGCCCATGTGGGCACAAGTGTATGTGTGTGTGTGTGTGCGCGCGCGCCTGGGGCAGCCATGCTGCCTGTGGAGGCCCAGGGAAGCGGAGCACACGTGGCTGCAACTGCAGCTCTGCTGCCCACACAGGGCGGCCGACAGTGAGAGGCAGCACTGACCCCACACCCAGGGCAAGCCCTGTGGGGAGGTGTCTTGTTGGGCATGACAGTGACACCACTGGGGTAGGTTGCAGAAACAGCTGCCCCACGCAGGTGCATCCTGGTGCCCTTTGCTGCCAACACCTGTGGGTCAGGGTGGGGAGCTCTCCTCTCAGATTCTGTTGTCCGCGTGGGCAGAGCCCATCGCTCCCAGGTGCAGGGAGGCAAAGATGGGCAGCAGCCCCAGGACTCGTGGGTGAGGGATGGTCTGTGGGACCCCCCCCAATTGACGGTGGCCCAGCCCCAGCAGCAAAGGCAGCAGCGCTCGGGCCCAGCTGAGGTAACGACATGCGGCAACACGAACTGCTGCAGCATGGTGGGCGCTGCCAGCCACAGGGAGTGCCTGGCGCCCAGCCAGCTGCCGACACCATGGCTCGCTCTGTGGCCTCCCTGGCATGAGAGGAGTCACTGCAGCCTCACACCAGCCCCCTCTGCCCCACTCCTGGGGGGCACAAGGTTTTGCACCCCAGCCTATCCCTGCAGAGGAGGCATCCTCCCCAGCAGTGCTAGTGGTGGTGAGCAGGGACGGAAGCCACATGCACAGGCATGTACACACAGAGGGGCCAAGGCAGACCTGGATGGCCAAGAGAGTCCCCAGGGATGAAGGAGAGGTCCCGTCCCCTCCTCCAGACCTGAGGGTACACACCTGCATGGGAATTGGGGATGGGGTCACCCACAGCAGGGCTGTGATGGCACCAGCCACTGTCCCTGTCCCTGCCCCAGACCCTGTCCCTGTCCCAGCCCCTGCACCTGAGCATTGGAGCCATCACCCAGTGCAGAGTGAGCCACTGTGCAGGCACCAGCCATGGCTGAGGTGTGGGCTCACAGCTGTGTGGGGGGCACAGGCAGGTCGCCTGCAGGGGCCCTGCAGATAGAAAGCCCCAGGAGGGAGAAACCCGGCTGAAAGACCATCTCGTTGGGCTTACGCTAGATTTGCAGCATAAACACTGCTCTCAGCTCTTCCAGTTAAGGTGTCCTGTGCCTGCCAACATGCAGGCTGGAGGGACACAGGGATGCCCTGGCATGCTCCTGTGCTGGCGCTTGTCTCCCATCATCCCTCTCATCCGCGCCAGCATGCTTGGCTGCCAGCACCCTGGGGCTTGGCGGGGCCTTGCACATGTGTTCGTGGCCCTGGCTCCAGCCCGTGCGACAGCCCCCAACCCCGGCATCTCCTGGTGGCACAGGGATGATGGATTTTTCTAATAACAGGACCCTCTGACCAGACCCTGGTGATGCCGCAGGGCTGGGGGACATGGAGGTCCACAGCTTGGCCTCACACTGGGACAGTGTCCTCATGCCACCCCCGGCCCCACTGCCTCCTGGGTCACCCATGGCCCCGCGGGCTCTGCCCCACTGCAGCATCGCTCAACCCATCCTGAGCCAGGGCTGCTCAGTTGCAAAGCCCCTGCAGAGGGGACGCAGAGGGCAGTGATGTCCCCAAAGGCCTCAGGGTGGCGAGGTCACGGGTAGAGCTTAGGGGTCCTGGTGAGTGCATGGGTCTGTCCAGAAACATCCCACACCCCAGGGGAGGAGGTGGAGGGGGATGCCGAGAACTGCCCTACTCGCTGCAGCCCAGCACCATGCCTCATGGCCGTGCTCAGGCCTCCAGTCCCCCAATCTACAGGCTCTCTGGGCTGCCCCACAGTGTAGCAGGGACTCAGGCCTGCCCCACAACATCCCATCTCCCTCGAGGGTGTTGAGACCCATGGGCCCCCAGGTCTGAAGTGGATTATGATGGGTTTCCTTCCTGCCGCAGGAGCCGCAGCTTCCCTGGGACGGCTGGCAGGGGAAGAACCCAGCGGGCTTTGTAACGGCCAGTGAAGAGATTTGCCAAAAGAAGGAAAAAAAGGGTTGTCAAGAGAAAGCAACAGCTCTGAGGTGTCAGGCGGTGGTGCCATAAGCCCCGCTGCAGACCCAGGAGGGAAGGGCAACACCGTGCTCCTGGGATCAGTCCCTCCAGCAGCAGGATAGCTAATCCAGGGTATTTTTAGGGCTATATTCCAAGCAAAGGAGCTAGAAAGGGAAGACGAGCTGTAGCTCAGCAGTGAACTGCACTAGCACCCAGCAGCT